AGCCCGGTGTTTTCCAAGAAGCCACTGTATTATAACATCCTACTAAATATCTTTGTTGTTTGCCTCATTTAAGCCTCCAAGCTCTTGGAAGAGCCAAATACCAGGCTTCCCCAGCCACAGATTTTTTAAAATAAAAGCTCAGAACGGCTTATTGTCTTGTTAGAAGGCACCACACACATAAATGGCCAAGCCAGCAAAGGAATCTGGAGATGACGGAATCTAGTGCCCACCTTAAAATCCTCTGACAACACCTTGGTGGCAGCTCCGAGAGTCTGGAAAATAGACCACCACCATTAAGCCATCCCCACCAGAGGCCAGCTGATTGGCCTTCTGATGCACAAGCCAGAACCCAGGTCCAGTTCTTCTGTGGACACTGTGCCCTGCGGACCTGGAAGGGGCTGGCACTGTGCTCTGGCTCACAGAGTGAACTCAGGGACTGAGCCGCAGACACACTCCAGGCTTCCTGGCACTTGCTGTCCTCCCTGGCCTTTTTTTTCCCCTTCTAAATGACATCAGATGCACCTAGCAAGTACACAGTTGTGTTCTGGAGGGCAATGCCAGCTGGTTTAAGAAAATAGCAGAGTGCATACTCCGTGCATATGCTAGCTCATAGAACTATGTGTCCAGAGAAGTGCACATAAAAATGGTAAAATCCAAAGAAAGTCTATTCTTGAGTTAATGGTATAAGACTAATGTCAGTGGTCTCTGTGGTTGGTAAGGGCAGTGTTCTGCGGGTGGTAAGGTGCTTTCATTAGAAGCTGCGTGAAAGGTACCTGAAAGTCCCAGTACTGTTTTTGAAAGTTATAAAATAAAAATAGTTAATGCAACAGGAAAGTGAGCAAGAATATCTACTCAGTGTGTATGAAGCATCATGTTCAAACAGCCAGTGTGGGAAAGATTAGTAGCATGGTTGGTCTTTCACAATACTAGAAAAGAATGCGAGAATAACTTCTGGTCCAAGAACTTCCCAGTAGTCTGTGGTAATAGTGCTTCATCCCTATCTTCTGCATCTAGGTCACTGTCTCCATCCTGTCTTTTAATAAAGCTAGACCCTCAGTGGGACCACTGAGTCTTTGACCCCAACTCTTTATATAATGATTAAAGGTATGAGCTTTGGCTTTGGACCAAAAGTTCAGATACAATATCCCCTTTTATCAGTAGCATGAACTTGGGCAAGTTACCTAACCTACTTCCTGTGCCTTAGTTCCCTATAGTTTCAGTAATCTCACTCATGGCTTTTAAGAGTGAATAAAGAAGTAGTTGTATGGAAGACCTAGAATATAGTAAAGATTATGCAAGTGTTAGACAAAATGATGTTGAGGTCAATGGGAGAGAAAGGGAGGAAGATTCAAGCCTGCTTCCCCCAAGCCATCAGTCACAAAGGCCTTTTCATTTTTCATCTGTCCTGGTTCTTTCTTGAACCCCGTTTACCCTATAGGAATCCCCATTCCCCTAGTGCAGGCTGGGATAATACAGTGTCTGCTAGGCTTTGTGTATCAAATTATCCACTTTCTAAAGGAGGAGTCCATATAAGCATGACATGAAGAATGCAGAAATTCCTCATTGCTTAAAACCTTACAATTCTTTCTATACATGTTCTAGCGCCCCTTCTAGACTCAAATTTCCAAAGACAGGACCTGTGTCTCTGATTGATCTTGGGGTTCCCAGGTGGCCTACTGGGTCATGCAACAACATCTGTGATCGAGTATATGTGTACACGTGTAGATCATGTCCTGGCTGACCCTTCTTGTCATGTAGGTCCTAGCCCACAGGTAACTTCCTCAGCCAATCTGTATTATCTTCCCCTACATGGTATGATCCTTACAGTAGGACTATGCAAGGGGAAGGACAGTGGTCACATGTAAATGTGGCGCCAGAACTAAAAATAAAGTCCTGAATCTGTATTGCCTTCCCTGTCCTCATTCTGTCCATCCTGCTTTGTAAAGTAGAGGTGGGATACTTTGTAAATTCATAGCAACTCTGCCTCTCAGAGATTTGGTAGGCCACTGGGATACTTGAACATGTCTAGTAGTTTCTTAAGGTTCTCCCTTGAGAAGCAAACCATGGCAAAGCTCAGGATGGACTCTGAGGAGACAGGATGTTACCTCTGTGGTCACTTGGATATTGACCAGGAAAGCTGCCAAAGCCCTCTTTCCCTGTGTCTAGATTCACCCAGAGTAACAATGCCATGCAAGCAGTTTTGTGGAATCCACCAAAGTATGCAGACTATTCTCATATAATGTCTGATTCACAAGATTAGATAGCTGGGTTTTTAAAATTCATTTATTCATTTGATAGAGGGTCTCACTGTGCAGATCAGACTCATAGTGATCCTCCTGTCTCAGCCTCCCCAGTGCTGGGATTACAGGTGTGCACCATCACACCCAGTTTCAGTGGCTGGCATGGTGCGCCTGGGGTTCCAGGACTGGTGCAGCGTGTGGTAATAGGGATCAAACCAGGGTCTTTGAGCTTGCCAGGAAGGTGCTTAGACCTCTGAGCTACCTCCCCAGTCCTGATAGCTTTTTAATCTGTATCTTCAGTTGTTTAAAGTGGGCCACATTTGAATAATGTCTTCATACTGCCATTCTCACTGAGCTGGGGCTGAGGACCGACATGGTATCTAGCTCATTGTCGGTGGCTCTGGTTCATTATTGACTGTCCTCTCCACTGTTTATAAGAGAGACTCGCTAGATGTCCTGCACCATCTAGATAGAACCCACCCATCCAGAAGCAGGCCTGAGTGTGGCCTCTTCCTTCTTCAGCTTCCTAGTGGTTGCAGTTTCAAAGGATAAAAATTCTAATTCTTCACCCTGGCAAACAAGAGGTGTGACAAATGTGGTTGCATTAATCTGCATTCTTTTTTTTTTCTTTCTGTCTTTTTTTTTTTTTTTTTTTTTTTTTTTTTTTTTTTTGGTGGAACCAGGGATTGAACTCAGGCCCTTGTGCTTGTCAGGGAAGCGCTTATTCCACTGAGCCATCTCCCCATCTGCATTCCTTTATCCCTATTGGCAGCCTTACCCTTCAGCCTGGTCATTCAGGAAATACACTTCATTCTTTCATGTTTCTACACCTCTGTATCCACGTCCCCTCTGTCCCAGGGGAACGAGCTCTGCTTGGGACACGTGGAGTCCAGAGTTAGCAGAAGCGGACTGGAGCTTGAGCGAGGGGAGGGAGGAGGGTGAGATGCTTCAGGAGAAGACTGACGCTAGCAATTAGCATCTGTGCCACCTCCCCCATCACCACGGTCACACTCATCTCCTTGAATCGGCTAGAACCTTGCTGCGGCAGCACAGGTTCCGAACATACTGGTGGTGGCATTTCCTTTTTTCAAAGGAAAGGAAAACTCAAGGCAGCGGGGGTATGGAAGCCAGGCACAGAAGACATTTCTGCATAAACTGGGCCTGGGGTGGGGGCAAGATACATTTGAGGGAGGCGAAGCGCATAGCGAACGTGGCATTTTGAAAGGCTAATCAGCTGTGAGCAAACATGCCGAGACAACGTTCTGCTGTCGTCAGAGGTAATGTTTTACGGAGATGTTATTTGTGAGGAGAAGCCCATTCCTGATGCGCTCACGTGCACATGGGAACAGGGAAGCGATCTGCAGAAATACAGCACTTGCGTGCAGAAAGGTATTCATCAAACATGAAGTTAGACAGGCCCCATGAGCACCTGTGGCTCTGACCCAGCTGATGGGAGGTGACCCGCAAGACCCACATGAGCAGACCTAGGGCTGCATAAGAAAGTCAAAGGTCGCCTTTAAAAAGTTTGCTGACCACCTCTCACGGCCTGCTTGCTCTTAGAATTCCAGTTGGTGAGCCATCCAACACATGTCTCAGGTTTTAGGATTCCATTCCAACTCAAGCAACTTCTGGTACCCCCACGACCTAGGGAATAATCCTGTAATCCCAATATCTCATCATCTAAACTACATTCTACTTACTTCCATCTGCCCAAGGACATGTGACAGAATTCTCTGCTTAGACCATAAGTCCCAAGTTTGAATTCAGGCAACATGATCCTGAGCCCTCCGGCGTCAGCTCCAAAAGTGGAAAAAGATTCCACGAAGTGCTTTCCATTCTCTGCCAAAGCTTGATTTTTTTTTTTTTAATGCAAAATAAATCTCTCCCAACAAGAACACGAATGAGGGCATTGTAGAAAAAGCAAAAAGATCAAAATAAGTCATGGAAAAGATCTTTTAGGGGACAATTCTGGAAAGTTCCCTTAAACAAGACTGTACAAAGAGTGCTTCAGGAGTGTGAAGCTTACTGTCCTGTTTGTTGCCGTTCCTGGCCGTCGTCTTCAGGAAAAGTGCCTTGGGATAGTCGGGCACAGTTCCCACTAGTTGGCTCTCCAGAGGCACAGTTAGCAGGATAGATTCTGATCACAAACAAGGTTATTTGATTTCCTAAGAAACAGGGCCAGGGGACGTGATTGGGGGGTTACTTTGCTAGGTGTTTATAACATCTGTAATTGGGAACAGAAGACTTGGAAGCCAACCTCAGTTTGGGGTGTGGTACTTAGTGTGCTTCCAAAGAGATTCTTCCTATGAGATTTCCAGCCTGGAACATCCTTGACACTCCCGTGGTTCAACAGGGGTTGGCAGAACAACCTCCTAGTCCAACCTGTATGACTAAATTCCAGCCCATACCTCTTCTGTCATTCTTTTCATTGGTGATATTTTTCGCTTTCCTGTTCACCTCACCAGCAGGAAATGTACTGCTGTATTTCCTTGGGTTTTTTTTTTTTCATTGTCTGCAGCCCCCGCCCTACCTGTAAAATGAGCACTTTATGAATAACTAACAACCATAGTTCTCCCCCAGAGTAGGTACTCTGTGCAGACTACTGAGCGAAGACCAGCACAGACTTGCTGTTATGGCATTAGGAGTAGGAGGAAGGGCAGTGTGAGTCCTTCCAATTCACCCCACCATCCCTTCTCCCTCCTTCCCCCAGGATGCCCCTGATTTATGCTGCAGGATTCTTCTCTTTCTACCTCTTTGCAGAGCATTGGCTGCGATGACTTCCTGGGCTCCGACAAGGTCGTGGACAAGTGCGGGGTGTGTGGCGGCGACAACACGGGCTGTCAGGTGGTGTCAGGCGTGTTTAAACATGCCCTCACCAGCCTGGGCTACCACCGCGTTGTGGAAATCCCCCAGGGAGCCACAAAAATCAACATCACCGAGATGCACAAGAGTAACAACTATCTGGGTAAGCGTGGTCTGTTTCCAGAAGCAACTGTCCCTTGCTGCCAGCTGGCATGTCCCTTCCAGGGCATGACATGAACACAGTGGTGTCCAGAGAGCTGTAGTTCTAGACACATAGAAAATGTCACTGGTAGTGCCCCAGTACCACGTGGACTGCCCCTAATATGAGACAGTTGGGGGGAAAAAAATCATTCAATCAATTAAATGTTTGATATCTATACACTGAAACCAGCTTTTGTTCCTCACAGAAGAAATATGGTTATGAAATGGATAATAGCCTAAATTGTAGCTCTGAGATGGGGAGGGACTCTGCAGTATCCAGAGGTCTGCCATTCACTGGAGTTTAAAGCAAGGCAGAAGTAACTGAAGATTCCATCTGGACCTTCCATCCTGAAGGTCTAAAGCAAACCTTCTTTGTTTCTTTCTACATCTAGGCCACCATCCCCTTTATTACTAGCATGTATGTCTTTGGATCCCTCCCCAGTCATTTGGAGCAATGTTACCAACATTGGAAGGCAAGTTTTGACCCATTTTCCCCACAACAAGAGATCTTTGTTGACATTTTCTTCAGGTTTTTCAGTCTATTTGCATTCCTTCCAATGCAAAAAAAAAAAAAAAAAAAAAAAAAAAAATTTGCCAAGTTCTGATTCATGTAAGTGTTGCTGGGAAGCCGAATCCTAAAACCACCCCGAGTTCACAACACAACAAGGGCCTGGCAGTGCACCTTCATTTTTCCTGTCGTAGATGAAAGAGTTCGGACAAGACAAGACAAGACATCATATAGAGAGAAGATCGGTAGAGTTTATTGCAAAATGATAGATTTTCAGAGGCAGCAGACAGACAGACAGACAGACAGACAGACAGACAGACAGATACCTTCAAGCATGAAGGTAGGCAGACGCCAAAGCTGCAGTTACACCAAAGGAGCAATATCCCTTCCTTCTTCCACCTTGTTCTCGTACAAGAAGCAAGGGCTGTATTGACCCCATTCACAGAGAAGCAGGTCCCTGGACTCCCAAGGTGGGTGGTTTCTGTTTAGTTTGTTATGACCTTAAGGATTTTCTCAACCCTTCCCCTATGGTCTGGGCTTTGCCCGGATTCTGAACACTGTCAGCACACTCAGAATGTTATGTCATATTGAGCTAAAGTTGGAAATGTATGTGTATTTTTTTAATCTATAGCTGATGATTAAGAATGCAAAGGGAAAAGGGAAAAGCATCATGTTTACTTTGCTTTTTGCGTAACCTCAGTGCCATCTCCTGCCCTGCTAAGACCTAACTTTCTGCCTAACATAAGATGTGCAAATCAGCTAAGGAGATAACATCAGGAGACTGTTTCTTAAAAGTCACTTGATGAACAGCAATGTTCAATTTTATTTTTTAATTGTCTATGGAACAGAAACTAATCTATGTTCCATGAGTATTCTTAGTGTTTTCCATCTACCAAGTCCTTACCAGTTTTGTAGTGTAGAAGCTATTCACAACCCCATTTCATAGAAAAAGAAAGCAGGCTCAGAGGGCTGGGGAGATGGCTCAGTAGAATAAGTGCTTCCCTGGCAAGCACAAGGGCCTGAGTTCAATCCCTGGTTCTGCAAAAAAAAAAAAGAAAAAGAAAGAAAGAAGGAAAGCAGGCTCAGAGAGGTTATAAAAGTCATACAGCAAGCAAGAAATACAGCTGAAACTCGAACCCAGGCCTCGAGCTCTAAGGATGTTAGTCTATCAAGAGGTGATACCCAGGTTGGGCAGATAGCTCAGTGGCATAAGTCCCTGCCTGGCAAGCACAAGGTCCTGAGTTCGATTCCTGGTACCAAAACTAAATAAATAAATGATACCCCTGGGCAACTCCAGAACCTGAGTTCCTCTGCCACGAGTTTTTCCTTGTGTGAGCAATGTCTGCAGGAGTTGAAAGACCATTCGTTTTGCAGTTTTCAAGCGTCAAGATCACCCCAGAAGGCAACTCCAAACCCAGGCCCTCCTTATGTTGTAGCTGTCCCTTCCCCGCCCCTACACATGCAGCCAGAAATAACTTTGCTTGGTTGTATTGGCCAGAGAAGGAAGGCATGCCCCGTAGGTCTCTGATACAAACCCAGTTAAAAAAGAAAACTGTCATATTTGCTCTGACAAACCCAGGAGCCACCAAAGTGGCACAGAGCCCAGCTTCCTAGTAAGTGGTTTGCATATTATTTTTAATAACCAAAAAAGAAATCTTTCTGTGACTCCTCCTTTCTTTCATACTTTTATGGAATCACATCTTCCTAAACATCCTGTCTCCTAGGATGGAAAATGTTCTTCTAAGAATTATTTGAAGTGTAATTATGTTCGAATGTACCAGCAAACAACACCACTTTTTATTAGCTTCCTGTTGTTCTTAGAAAAAATTCCCTGGCTATCGTTGGTCCTATTCCGTAAGCAGTTTCAAGTTCTGGCCTGTGATAACAAATCCTGAGCGTGAACAGCGCTGCACATCTGAATGGGAGCAGCTCTCAGAGCCTTGCTGTTTCCATCTGGATAATGGGAGTAAGAATCGTGACAGCAGGTAGCTGACAAATGTCCCCTCCCTTTCTTTTGTCTCAGAGAGTTGATCAGGACCTCAAAACTTCATGGTACAAACAAAAGAAAATTCCTCTCCCCAAAGAAAGTTGAAGACAGGCAGGAGGATGGAAGTATTTGAGTTCAATCCCTGGTACCACCAAAATAAATAAATAAACAAACAAATAATAAATAAATCAAAGGGAATGTGATCAAGAAGTCAGGTTCAACTTCCCGTGCCCGTAGCCCACTGGAATGCAGAAATAATCCAGAGCCTGCTGCAGCCTGGCACAGCGCTGCGTGGGCAAGAAGGAAGGAAGCAGGCGAGTGGGCCGATGGGATGGTAGCGAGGGCAAGTAACACTTAACTCA